TGCTGCTGCTGCTGCTGCTGCTGCTGCTGCTGCTGCTGCTGCTGCTGCTGCTGTTGCTGCTGCTGCTGCTGCTGCTGCTGCTGCTGCTACTACTACTACTACTACTACTGCTGCTGCTACTACTACTACTACTACTACTGCTACTACTACAACTGCTGCTGCTGCTACTACTACTACTACTACTACGACTACTACTGCTGCTGCTGCTGCTGCTGCTGCTGCTGGTCTTCCTGCTGCTAGGCTCTCTCTCACGAGCTGCCGGCCACCTCATTTCAGCTCTTTTTGTTCCTGCTGCTGCTGCTGCTGCTGCTGCTGCTGCTGCTGCTGCTGCTGCTGCTGTGCACAGCACATTCGTATACTGCAGGTGTATGTACTGAGCCACCTGCTGGCATCCTTTGCTGCTGCTGCTGCTGCTGCTCCTGCTGCTGCTCCTGGTGCTGCTGCTGCTGCTGCTGCTGCTGCTGGTAAACCCTCGATAATTCTTTGCGGGGACTTCAACTGCGATGAAGACAGCGGGGGTTTTGAGCTGCTGAGCAAATTTAAAATTGATGCAGACCACAAGGACTGGCAATATGGTAAACCCTAAACCCTAAACCCTAAACCCTAGACCCTAAACACTTGCGACTAGCCGCAGTGGCCCCAAGCCCCGCTTCTGTCGGAAGCTGCTGCAGCAGCTGCAGCACCTGCTGCAGCAGCTGCTGCTGCAGCCGTAGCTGCTGCTGCAGCAGCCGCTAAACCCTCATGTGAAGAAAGAGCCGCAAGTGCGTAACACGAACCCTAGGGTTTAGGGTTTAGGGTTTAGGGTTTAGGGTTTGGCTGGCGCAGCGCCCACATACACCTGGGGGGATAACCAAGCCAGCGAAGACGAAGAGGACGAAGCCGACGCAGCAGCAGCAGCAGCAGAACCAGCAGCAGCAGCAGCAGAACCAGCAGCAGCAGCAGCAGAACCAGCAGCAGCAGCAGCAGCAGCAGCAGCAGTGAAGGGTTTGCAGCTGGAGCTGCCAGTGTCTGTACACCTGAAAGAAGCCTACGGAAAGTCTCTTCTTCCTTTTACAAATTTTGTTTCGAACTTTAAAGCAACTTTGGACCACATTTTCATTTCCGAAGACTTGCAGGTCCCAAACCCTAAACCCTAAACCCTAAACCCTAAACCCTAAACCCTAAACCCTAGGGTTTAGAGCGAGGCGACGGCAGGCCGTCGACTTGCCCTCCGTGGCGCGAGCGCGCTGAACCCACCACCGAGGGTTTAGGGTTTGCGTTTAGGGTTTGAAGCCTGCGGTTTAGGGTTTAGGGTTTAGGGTTTGCGTTCAGGCGGTGGGGACTTTGCCGGGGGTTTGCGTCGAGCCTGTGGAAACCCTCGGGGGTTTACTGAGTCGCTATTATCCTTCAGACCATTTGTCTATTGCTGCTGACTTGATTCAGCTCTAAACCCTAAACCCTAAACCCTAAACCCTAGGCTGCAGGCCAGCCGCGGCAGCGGCGCTCACTGCGAGGGTTTAGGGTTTAGGGTTTGGGCCTGCGCGGTTTGGAGTTAACGGCGTGTGTCCACCTGCCAAACCCTAAACCCTAAACCCTAAACCCTAAACCCTAGACTTGAAGCCCCAGAGGCACCTTTTGCTGAAAGCATAGGAAGCAACACTTTAGGGTTTAGGGTTTAGGGTTTTTCTTTCGAGCCAGTCCGCGGTGGCAGCAAACCCTCAGACGCCAACTTAGGGTTTAGGGTTTAGAGCTTAGGGCTACCTAGCTAGCTGCTGGACAGCTAGCCAGCTAGCTAGCTAGCCAGCTGGCTAGCTAGCTACCTAGCTAGGCAGCCAGTTAAATCCTGGGCCTGCTAGCTAGCTGGCTAGCTAGCTAGCTAGCTAGCTGGCTAGCTAGCTAGCTAGCTAGCTAGCCGGCGGTCATTTTAACTAGCTGCTCGGCTGGTCTGCTAGCTAGCTAGCCATTCGGCTAGCCACCTAACTTGGCCAGCTTCCTCCCTAGCTGGCTGGCTAGCTAGCTAGCTAGGTATGTAGCTAGCTAGCTAGCTGGCTAGGTAGCTGCCTAGGTAGCTAGCTAGCCTGGCAGCTAGCTAGCTACCTAGCTGCGTAGCCAGCAGGCTTGGCTGGCTAGCTGGCTAGCCAGGTAGCTAGCCAATAAGGCAGCTAGCCATCTAGTTACTAGCTAGCTAGCTAGCTAGCTAGCTAGTGGGTTGGCTAGCCACCCAGCTAGCTAGCTAGCTAGCTGGCTAGCTAGCTAGGAACCGATCACCCAGCTTGCTAGCCAGCTAGCTAGCCAGCAGGTGAGCTAGCTAGCTAGCTAGCTAGCTAGGTAGCTAGCTAGCTAGCTAGCTAGCTAGCTGGCCAGTAGCTAGCTGGCCGTCTTGTGCCTCTTTTGCACGAAGGCCAAGTCACTGGCCCTCTTGCTTTTTGCAGTTCATACAAAGAATTAAATAAATAAATTAAATAATTAAAATAATTAAATTAATTAATTTAATTATTTAATTTAATTATTTAATTTAATTATTTAATTCCTTTTATTTAAATTAATTTTGTTTCTGCTTCTTTTGAGTCCTCCAGCATTCCCCGCTGTCTGTACACCGCAGACAAACTGCGGTGTACGTACACCCGAAAAGACCCGCAGCAAAAGCAGCTCTTGCTGCTGCTGCTGCTGCTGCTGCTGCTGCTGCTGCTAGAGCGACAACCCCGCTGCAGCAGCAGCAGCAGCAGCAGCAGCAGCATCGGCAGCAGCATCGGCAGCAGGAAGAAGCGCAGCTGCTGCTTCCCCACACCTGCGCAAAGCATGCACGGGTTTGGGGTGCGAGTGTCTGCTGCTGTTGCTGCTGTTTGTTGCTGCTGCTGCTGCTGCTGCAGCTGCTGCTGCAGCAGATACACACCTTCGTGCTGCAGCAGCTGGGGCGGGGCCGCGGCTGCCTCTGGCTTTTTGTCCCGAAAGAAATAATAAAAAATAAAAATTAAAAATAAAATAAAAAGAAATTAAACTGCGGAGAAGACGCGAGTTTAAGCAGCAAAGACACAGCAGCAGCAGCAGCAGCAGCAGCAGCAGCAGCAGCAGCAGCAGCAGCAACGCACTGACGACCAAGCATGCAGCGGCGCCTAGCGCTGCAGCGCTGCTGCTTCTCTTGTTCTCGAGAAGTAAAAGAAATAAAATAAATTAATTAATTTATTTATTTATTTATTTCTTTTTATTTATTTCCAATCTTTCAATTCAACTTAACAACGAGGGCCGGAGCCCCCATCCGCAGACCCAAGACGGGCGCCTAACAGCTGCTGCTGCTGCTGCTGCTGCTGCTGCTGCTGCTGCTGCTGCTGCTGCAGTGACAAAGCGAAATCTGCTGCGATCCGCTGCAGCAGCAGAGACCCAACACAGCAGGCTGTCTGTTGCCGGGACCACCACTCACCGCAGCAGCAGCAGCAGCAGCAGCAGCAGCAGCTCTTGCTTCAGCAGCAGCAGCAGCAGCAGCAGCAGCAGCAGCAGTTTCAAAATGGCGACTGTGGCGCGAGGAAGCAGCTCTTCCTCTTCCCCTGCTGCAGCAGCAGCAGCAGCCGCGCCCGCCCCAGCAGCAGCAGCAGCAGCAGCAGCAGCAGCAGCAGCAGCAGCAGCAGCAGCAGGACAAAGCCTGTGTCCGCTGCAGTCCTGCGCACAAGCCCTTGCTGCTTTGCTGCAGGAAAAAAGCCGCAAAGTAAAAGCTGCTGCGCTGCAGCAAATCGAAACCCTCGCGGACGCCAACTGGCTGCAGCTCGCCGACGCGCTTCCCGACATGTGAGGGTTTTGCCAAACCCTTTTTTAGGGTTTGGACGCGGCGGTTCGTCCAAACCCTTTTTTAGGGTTTGGTTTAGGGTTTGGACGCGGGGTTTGGTCCAAACCCTTTTTTAGGGTTTGGTTTAGGGTTTGGACGCGGGGGTTCGTCCAAACCCTTTTTTAGGGTTTGCCGTAGGGTTTGGACGCGGGGTTTGGTCCAAACCCTTTTTTAGGGTTTGGCTAAGGGTTTGGACGCGGGGTTTGGTCCAAACCCTTTTTTAGGGTTTGGCTTAGGGTTTGGACGCGGGGTTTGGTCCAAACCCTTTTTTAGGGTTTGGCTTAGGGTTTGGACGCGGGGTTTGGTCCAAACCCTTTTTTAGGGTTTGGCTTAGGGTTTGGACGCGGCGGGCGTTTACGCGGGGGTTTTCGGGTTTCTGGGGGTTTGTAGGGGGGCTAGGGTTTGCAAAAGGGTTTTAGGGTTTGCAGAAGGGTTTAAGGGTTTAGGGTTTACAAAAGGGTTTGGGGTTTATAAAAGGGTTTAGGGTTTATACGAGGGTTTAGGGTTTACAAAAGGGTTTAGGGTTTGTGAAAGGGTTTGAGGGTTTACAGCTGTTCATTTTCTTCGTTTTTTTTCGTTTTTTGAGTTTTAAACATCAAATTAATTCATTTAAATCATTTTAATTCATTTAATTCATTTTAAATTCATTTTAATTCATTTTAATTCTTTTAAATTCATTTAAATTCTTTTTAATTCATTTTAATTCTTTTAAATTCTTTTGAATTCTTTTAATTTTATTTCGCGCAAATCAGAAAACCCAAAAGCCCCAAAAAGTGGCAAATTTGACTCCAAAAAACTCCAACTAATTCGAAATCATTTTGGCATTAAAATGGCATTAAAATGCCATTAAAATGGCATTAAAATGGCATTAAAATGGCATTAAAATGGCATTAAAATGGCATTAAAATGGCACAAAAATGGCATTTAAATGCCATTTAAACGGCATTTAAATGCCCCATTTAAATGCCATTAAAATGGCATTAAAATGGCATTAAAATGGCATTAAAATGGCATTAAAATGGCATTAAAATGGCATTAAAATGGCACAAAAATGGCATTTAAATGCCATTTAAACGGCATTTAAATGCCCCATTTAAATGCCATTAAAATGGGATTAAAATGGCATTAAAATGGCATTAAAATGGCATTAAAATGGCATTAAAATGGCATTAA